TGTATAGTCTCCCTCTGGATTGCAAAAAGAAATGATCAAAATCGGTCTGAAGTTTGAAGATAGAAATCGCTTAAATATTTAAGGTGTTATATATATCCGAACCTTATAAGGTTCGGATACGCCTACCCAAACATTAAATATACTAACAATACATTGCTTTCAACATTGCACAAATTTTCTTTCCCGTAATCATGACGGACAAATCACACAGCAAATACTCGTAATAACTGGGGAAATGAAATAAGTAGGTAAGTATTAAGGTAAGTAAGTACCCTAATTTATGCATTAAATTTCTCATGTGTATAATACGTACCATAGACTATGAAATGACATTGTCGGAACAGCAGGCAAAGGAAACATAATCGTGTCCAAGATGGCGTCACGTGCTATTTCCCGCGCAATTCTCGCGCCACTTGTGAGCAAGTGTATCCAGCCAGATGGATCTCACATCCGGCACAGGTCAATGTCCGGTCCGTTACGCTTTTCAGTCATCAGGGAACAGTATGTGACAATGTCACACCGTGGACGTCATAGCGCATTCCATGGTGCAGTTCATGTCTATAGACTATTACCACTTTCCATCAGGTGGACCGTCAGTTTGATAGACATGAGCAGTACTATGGACATAACAGAGTATACTGTTTCGCCCATGATACCCCACATGCGTTGCCATTCCTGAGGACTCAGGTGTTATTCCTTTGTACCCTGTAAATTCACGCCATATCCCACCCTTCAAACCGAAACACAGCCATGCAAACACAACTGCTTCACGATAGAAACACGAAGGGGACAGAGGTGCCTAAGCAAACGACTTTTGTACAAAGTCTCCCTCTGGTAAGATTTATATTGCTTAACGATAGTTTATCGCTTTTACGTAATTCTTACTTAATATTATAAATAAGGAAGTAAGTTTGTTCTTGTATAGCGCCTAAACGGCTTAAATTATTTATTTATTTATTTATTTAAACTTCACTGCACAATTATATAATATAAATAAATGCACATATGGCGGGCTTAACACCTAAAAGTGGGAGGGAAAGGAATTGTTAGCAATGGAGTTTGACAGCTCTATTGCTAGCAATATGCCCTATTAGGTCGACATCCACGTGGTTTCGCCTGGAAACCATCGTGAACAATTCTTGTTGAATTCGTCACGATGGGCTAACTGACCTGCTTCATCCTCACCTATCATTCTTCACTGGTGCCCCGCCGGTGTATACCGATAGCGCAGGTGGGGTTACCATTCCATTATCATCCATTAAAAAAGCACCTAAAAGTGTTCTCTACCAGTCAACCATGAGACAAGCAGAGAATTGAGTAGGCGGTGCATTTATTACTGAAATATTTATAAATATTTTTACTACATAGATAGATAGACAGATACCTACTATTTATTGTTCCCTCCATAAGATTACAATAGTAAACTTATGAATTAAAAAAAAAAACTTTACATTTATTATTGCCAATGTGGTCACCACTCGGCATGTGCTGCAGCAATTTAATTGCTACAGCGCTGATATTCTGTGGTGTCCATACGTGACAATACGAACGACGACAGCAAACATACATATACATATGTACTTACATACACAAATACAGTGTTTTACCAAATACATTATTTGTAGAAAATATTTTTTTAATTCAATACAAAATAGCTAACACTATAAATGTGTGGGGATGTAATTATAATTGAAGAATTTATAATTAAAATGAAGCGTTCTAGACTAATTAAAGTAGCTAGCTGACCATAATTCTAATGATAATAAATTAGAATAGCATATAAAAGGAAATGCGCCACTTTAACTTAAATAAATTGAATGTTGGTCTTATTCAATCTATGTTAGCTGAACTTAAACCAGACATTTTTTGAACATCTCTGTAAATTATTGATGCCCATTAATTCTTCTCTTTCCGCGTCTAGGGAAGGTAGATAAAGTTTTGTTGGAGAAATCAGTTCAGGGTACAATAGGACTGATGTACCTGAAGAAGGTAAAAGCCCTTAAAATATTAAAAAAAAAAAGGAAATAAGACAGAAAAAAATAGTCACTATGAAATTTGGTTCCACATACTATATGGGATACAGGCTACTTTTTAATTTTTACCCCGGTCAGTAAACGTAATCGCGAAAAAACGATGCCGCGGGTAAAAGCTACTATAATATATAACTCCTCGATCCGTCATACTCGTGAACGGGCGCTGCCTTTAAGATCTAGTCACCTTTGGTCACTGTAACTGAATAATTTATTGTTACTTCTAATATTTTGACTTTTTATAACTGAACCAGTTACCACGCTTGGCAGGCAGTTTTACAAGATGTTTTAAGAGGGGCGCTGCTGCCCATTCCTCGACCATTAGTTGCCTCTTACGACGCCCAAGGGAAAGGAAGGGGCAGCCCATTCTATGCTGGGACTACACGCCATTATAAATGAACAAGATAAAATTAGGATTATTTACCATTGCTATAGTGTGAGGGGGAAAAAAACCATTCTAAATTGACCTGGCACATTGCACAAGAGTTTTACAAAATATTTCCATAGTACCTACACCATGAACTAAGGGCATTATAGTTCAACGGAGGTCGCAGTACTATTTCCATATGAGGAAACATATGTGCATATTTAATTTTTTTTTTTGTTACTTTAGTGTAATATTCCTTTTTATATGTAATTGCACTCATGCTTTCCTGGGTGAGCGTATTTTTTTTTATTGGATAAAAATAGAATGGTAACCCCGCCTGCGCTAACGGGATACGCTGACGGAGCACCAGTGAAGGGTGATAGGTGAGAATGAAAACAGGCCAGTTAGCCCATCATGATGAATTCATCAGGAATTAACCATGATAGTTTCCAGGGGGAACCGCGAGGAGGGCGACCTGGTTGGGTATATCGCTAGCAATGGGATTCTCAGTCTCCATTACTAACAATCCCTTTTCTCCCTGGGTGAGCGTATTGGAAGACTGTAAGGCTCACCCAGTGGATGTAATAAATAAATAAATGAATGAGTATATTTTATTTGCATTATACAATATAGGAAATAAGCAAGGCAATTTACAAACACAACGATACAATTGTATAAGTACAGTAAGGCGGTCTTATTGCTGAGAGCAATCTTTTCAAGACAACTTTAAGGTAATAAATAAATAAATATTAATTTTAAGAAATAAATTCAGAGTATGGTAGGGCTAAGGAATAAACTAAACTAAGAGACTAGACTAAAGATCGTAATAATAAAACAAGAAAAATTTATAAATAAAATAAATAATTGAAATTATTTCGTAAAAAAATCCGACTTAAAAACTAAGCTATTGAACCGATTTTGATAAATATATAAATTTTAAACAAAACAATTCTTTAAACAAATCAATTTATAACTGACGGAATTATGAGATAATGTACATAAAAAATATATAAATAGATAGATAGATACTCTTTATTGTTTCCTCCAAAAGATTACAATAGTAGACTTATTATAGACACAAACAATTACAAGAAATAATCACAATGAGAAAACAATGGGCGACCTTATCGCTAAGAGCGATCTCTTGCAGGCAACCTTTGGATGGAGAGGAGTAGTTATAAACAGTTTGATTTAAATATAATTGAATTGTGACCTTAATTCCTTTTGAAGTCGGCCGATCACTATGAAATTTGGTATATATGTAACTATATGGGTATACGACGTACTCCAAAATGATACCACTTTTATAGTTCCACTAGTGTTTTTTATATTTATTTTCATAACAAAATTATAGTTATAAGACATTACACACAGAGATACAAGAATGGTATGCAAAAATTCAAATCATTCTTTTTCTTTTTTTAAATATACTATATGCCTTTTTTCCAGCCATGACCAATGGGAAAGAGAAGAATATAGGCTGCTTATTTTAGTCAGTAAACATATCCTAGTCACGCAAACAAAGTTGCGGGTAAAAGCTATATATACATTATAGTGAATTATTTTACACCTCAAAATTTTACAAATTTTTGGAGCAATATGAAAGAATTATAAAGTTCTATCTATCACATTCTTTGGAATATTATAGTAATAAATAAATAATATAATTAAATATATACATAATTGTGATTATTTCTTGTAATTGTTTATATTTATAATAAGTTTACTATTGTAATCTTATGGAGGAAACAATAAAGAGTATCTATCTATCTAAATAAATTTAAATATTGTATGTGTATATATATATATATATATATATATATATATATATATATATATATATATATATGAAATAATGTATTTTTTACTCTGTCACCGAATGGATTACCGTTTTTTCTAAGTAGATTAAGAAAAAATACGCAAAAAAAACAGTTTCTCACGACAGTTAAATCGAATTTCACGGTAGGGTGCGCTGCATTCGTTACAGTTATACTGTAGGCAGGAAAGAGACACAGTTGCAGTAGGTATTCGTGGCTACCTATAAGCAATTGCAAGACCTTATCCACTAACTGTTTCCCACGGCTTTGCTCGCGTGAATCACTATATAAGTGTGTGTGTTTTTTATGGGTGAAAATGGTATGGTAACCCCGCCTGCGCTAACGGGATACGCTGGCGGAGCACCAGTGAAGGGTGATAGATGAGAATGAAAACAGGCCAGTTAGCCCATCGTGGCTAATTCTAGTTGAATTCGTCACGATGGGCTAACTGACCTGCTTTCATCCTCACCAATCATCCCTCACTGGTGCCCCGCCATTGTATACCGATACCGCAGACGGGGCTACCATACCATTATCACCCATTAAAAAAACGCCCCACAGGGTGCCAAATTTAACAAAAAAGAAAATTTTAAATGAATGCTATAAATATTTATTAGGTATAATTTCGTTTGACGTTACCAAAATATCGACTGGGCGATTAGAGTCGTCAAGTAAACTTTGTCGGGGAAAATTATGTATGGGGGCGTAATGTTTAAGTGGGGCATGGCACAGAAAAGGTTGGAAAACACTCGAACTAGATGCTAATCATAAATATCTGTTTCACAGAAGATGTTCCAATATGAATACGAGAAGCGACCGCCGTCGGCGACGTCGTGCGACAGCCGCGCGACCGTCACCACTGACTGGAGTCGCGTGTACCCGGCGGGGACGAGCCGCGCCAGCGGGACTGCTGCTATGAGCAGTTCTGGCGCCCGCCGCCCGCTACCACCAAGACCGATTGTTTGCGAGAGGATACCTACAAAACCTACTGTAAGTGTTTACAAATCTTATTTATTTATTTTATTTATTCATTAGTACAAATGTGTGTACATGGCGGACTTAATGCTAGAAGCATTCTCTCCCAGTCAACCATAGGGAAGTGTCAGAATACTCGAATGCGGTACTAGTAATTATTGATATACATACATACTAAAATTACATATATAAACGAATAAATATATATGAATAACAAATATACTTACACATATATGATATATACTATATTATACACGAAATTGAGAATAATATAAAGCACTTACTGCCCGGATAAAGATAAAAAGTGAGCGTGAACGCTTTTTTTGAAAGACGGTTTAGTCGATTTGGTAGGTTATATTACCATACCTGGTGGGAAAAGGATTGTTAGTAATGAGAATTAACGGCCCCATTGCTAGCAAGCCCTGTCAGCTCGACCTCCACGCGGTTCCTCCTTGAAATTGTTGTGACTAATACTTGTTGTAGGGGGGAAAGGGATTGTTAGTGATGGGGAGGTTAGACCCCCATTGCTATCAATATACCCTAACAGGGCGACCTCCACGCAGTTCCCCCTGGAAACTATCGTGATGGGCTAACTGACCTGCCTTTTTATCCTCACCTTTCACTCCTTTCTGGTGCTCCGCCAGTGTATGCCGATAGCGCAGGCGGGGAACCATGCCATTTTTACTAATTAAAAAAACATACTTGTTGCATACGTCACGATGGGCTAACTGGCCTGCTTTCATCCTCAACTATCACGCCTCACTGGTAACTCGCCAGCGTATACCGATAGCACAGACGGGGTTACAATTTCATTATCATCCATTAAAATAAAACTATGAAATTAGATAGTTTTACCCCAAGATGGGATTTTTTAACATACTATAAGGTACTTTATGAATTAAGTCACACGGGCAAACTCGCAGGATACGGGGGAAAGGGATTGTTAGTAACGGGATCTATGGGATAACAAAAGGGTGTATTGCTAGCAATAATAACAATACCTTTCCCCCCGGGAGGTACATAAGTTTTTTTTATGGATGATAATGGAATGGTAACCCCGCCCGCGCTATCGGTATACACCGGCCGGGCACCAGTGTGGGATGATTGGTGAAGGTGAAAAGGCAAGTCAGTTAGCCCATCGTGACGAATTTAACAATAAATTAGTCACGATGGTTTCCAGGGGGAACCGCGTGGAGGTCAACCTGATAAGGTATATTGATAGCAATGGGTACTAACCTTTCCTTATTACTAACAATTCCTTCCCTCCGGTACATCAGTTAGGTAGGTACATATAGGAGGCGTGTTGCGCAGGCACACGTCGGCGGCACACCGCGCCGCGCCGGTATAATTTGCAGTGCTTCCGCCGCGTCGTGTTGCCTCACCTAACAGCCGGTTACGTTACGCCATTAGTGTTCAACCTCCGTGGGTCATAGCGTGAAGATTTAAAGAATGCTGTAACACGTTATATGTTGATTACTTCATATTTGTGTGATTTTTTTTATATAATCTATTACATATTTACTTCAGTTATTTATTTTATTCTTTATTGCACAATAAAACTTTGTACTAGTGGCGAGCTTAAGCTAACCATTAGGTGAAAACAGAAAGCGTATGAAGGGCAGATGTGGTTCGTTCCAATAATACTCTCCAATTATCTTTCCCCTCTCACCGTACTTGTTACGCTTCAAACTCTTTTCTCCTACATTCTTCACGACTCTGGAACACGCTTCCTGTTAAGAGACTACCGACTACACCGTCTTTCAAAAAAAGCGTTCACGCTCACTTTTTATCTCTATCCGAGCAGTAAGTGCTTTATATTATTCTCAATTTCGTGTATAATATAGTATATATCATATATGTGAAGTATATTTGTTATTCATATATATTTATTCGTTTATATATGTAATTTTAGTATGTATGTATATCAATAATTACTAGTACCGCATTCGAGTATTCTGACACTTCCTTATGGTTGACTGGGAGAGAATGCTTTTAGCATTAAGTCCGCCATGTACACATATATGTACTAATGAATGTGGTATAATATATATATATATATATATATATATATATATATATATATATTCTTTATTGCACTTGTAAATTACATTGTTAATGCATTTATAAATATTGTGAGCAATGGTGGACTTATCTCTGACAGAGATCTCTTCCAGTCAACACGATACAGTTAGAAAACACGTTGTCAGCGGGCAGCTGAAGTGCTACAACTATTAATACATAAACAAATATACAGTTAAATAAAATATTAAGATACATAATAAAATATTACATAAATATATATACTATAAATAAATATAATACCTACCTACTTATACAATGGATGTTAAAATAAATGAATATACTACTTACATTAGAAATTTATCGAGTAATCAACACATAACGTGTTACGATATATAAGAAAAACTATTATAGGGTTGCTTTATGAACGCAACACAACACAAAACGATGTTTAGAATTTTTGTCTATTTACTTGTACGTTTGTGCATGCTAATCTCAGAAACGGATTAACCGATTTAAAAGCAGTTCTCACTATTGCGTTGCGGTTTGCTCCACTTAACATTTAGTGTTTGTTTTATTTCAATCGGTTCGTAAATAAAAAAGTTATATCAATCTAAAGACTCGCATATAAAATGCTATAAAATAACCGATCAGTTGAATTGGCTGAAACTTTTTTTTTATTATATGTATTGATTTTAGAAAATTCTGTCAACACGTGCGAAGACGGGTCGGATTCCTAGTGATATAAATATATTTCTATCTGAAATCAGCGTGCACAAACGTACAGACAAGCAGACTAAATTCTAAACATCATTGTTTTGTATTTGTTCATAATAGTTTTTCTTATATATTGTCCATGTACAGACAGTGACCAGTTACGATTTTTTTTTATACAACTTAGAATGGCAAACGAGCTGACGGCCACCTGACGGAAAGTGGTAACCGTCGCCTATAGACATGAGCAGTAGCATGGACGTAACAGAGTGTACTGTTTCGCCCATGATACCCCCCATGCGTTGCCATTCCTGAGGACTCGGGTGTTATTCCTCTGTACCCTGTAAATTCACTGTCATATCCCACCCTTCAAATCGAAACACAGCCATGCAAACACAACTGCTTCACGGTTGAAACACGAATGGGACAGAGGTACCCAAGCAATCGACTTTTGTACAAAGTCTCCCTTTATTTGTTCCCTTATAGCGTATTAACGGCTCAACCAATCACTATGATTGATACTGAAGACGGAAGCTCATTCCGCTTCAAGTATCTGATCTTTTTTTCCCAAAGATTTTTTTCCTAATGAGCTCCCTGCCGAGGTTTTCCCAAGTGACTACAGCATGGGGTTCTTCAAAATGGGGGTAAAGAGGTTTCTTCAGGGTCGGCAACGCGCACGTAATACCTCTGGTATTGCAGCCGTTCATAGGCTACGGTAACCACTTACCATCACGTGGGCCGTATGCTTGTTTGCCACCTTAGTGGTATAAAAAAAAAAGATACGTAGGAAAAACAACAAAAAATGCAAACTTTCACTTGATACCTACTTTTTTCTTTACGCGAGCGAAGTCGCTGGATATAGCTAATTTATTTATAAGGGTCCAATTGAATTTAATATTATATTTTAAATGATATTTAATATATTTAATATGTTAAAGTGAATGCTGTGAATACCTATAATAGGCGTGCGCATTAATATTGTATTGTATTTAATGTTTGTTACACCTATATGTTATAATGCAATATGCTGTTGGTGTTACTTAAATAAATAAATAAATAAATATTTGTCACTTGCCTCCAGGTGCCACTCAAAGTTTGGGTGATCGCCAGCGCGTCCTGTTTCGCTGTCTGCGCCGCTCTGGTGCTGGCTACCTTGATGATCACTAAGTGGGGGGCAGGACCCTCATACTCTGAGGAGATGTACTCGGAACCGGTGAGTTTATTTATTTATTTATTTATTTATTTATTTATTAGAAACATCAATAAATCATACTGTGTGATTTCAATTTTTATTTCATGCAAATGGTTCAAGTATATAAAAAATAAAAAAAATATAAAAAAAAAAATGTATATAGAGTTGGCTTAATAGCTGGATGCCACAGTATGCATTAATTATTTCAGTAGTATAATTCATTTATTTATATTATTCATAAGCTTTTGTACATTCGCTTATAATACATATATTTGGTTATAACAAAATGTACGTAGGCGGACTTATCCCTTAGAAGGATTTCTTCCAGTCAACCTTGAGAAACCGAAAGGAGAGTGTCTAAAGGGTTTGTGTATAATTTAGTTATTTTTGTAGGATTGATAGTAGGGTTAATATTGTAAATTAATTTAATCAATAATTAACAAAAACAATAAGTATTTTACAATAAAACGGATAAAATTTTAAATTGTCCAAGTTAACAAAACACTCTCTCTGGTCGCTGGCCCGTGCGCGGTATGCGCGCGCAGCCAACAATCACAAAGCGCCTGCGCGACCTGCGCGCGCATCTTGCGAGCGAGTGCCGTGACCAATATATATATATATATATATATATATATATATATATATATATATATATATATATATATATACTTGGTCACGGCACAATGCTAATATAATATAAAATGCTAGTTTGTCTGCTCGTTTTTTTAAATAATAAATAAATCAATTATATTATAAAGTTGATATATGTATATAATAAATATTGGTAAGTAATATCTCACCACATTTTGATTAAATAACATAGAAAGATGACGTACAGAAATATATGTTTTCATAATTATGTATAAGTTCGCTTATCATTTTTGTTAATACAAATTAAATACAGTAAATTATTAGTTTTTTTTTTTAATACCATTAAGTTAAAAGCAAACAAGTATAAAGCCCGTCTGTTTAATAAAGCCCGACTATTTAATAAGGCGCTAATATTAATATTTATTTCCAGGAACAGATTTTTTCCGATACAAAACCAACATACAGCCCACCTTTACCGTCACAAGTAACCACAACAGAAACCCAAACAAAGCAAGACACTATACCACTAACAAATATACAGTCAACTCCTGATACAATAGAAAACGACTTACATATGTCTATTCTTGAAAAGCTACCGATATTTAAAAACGTAGTTTCAAATCGTGGAAAAAGTAACAATCTATCTACAAAACCACAAATTCATCCATTACACGAAACAATAGACCATATAGAGAGAAAAATCGAAAAGAAAGACCAAGCCAAACTGCCGAACGATTTTGATAATGAAGTGAAAGAAATACCCGAGTTCAAACCAACGTTGCCTGACGTTATCTTTGGCAAACATAAAGATATTATACTATCCGAAGGATTCTTAACTGGGTTTAGGAAGCACGATACTGAATACGAGGAGTACTACAATGATGATAATTTATACGATGATTACATGCAAAGCAACACGATGACGAATTATTTAATTGAGAAAGTACAAGAGTTACATAATTGGATTACCACAGATCCTGATTTCGAAGCAAGGAATTCTTCTAAAGTTGTGAAAGCTAGTAACCAATTTGGAGAACTACTGAAGGCGTTAAACGAAAGTCTTGTTGAAGGGAATGTCACTATAATAATGAATAAGCTAAGGAGTTTATATTTTGGAGAGGATTACACGAGCTTTAATAGAAGCAGAAGGATTGTTTCCAGTAACAGTACGGATTTACTGTCGTTTGGAATATTGTCGTTGGATGTTATGTTGTTACATAATATACAATTGATGGCGTGGGAGAGTCAGGTGAGTGAGGTGACAAATGTCATATTGTTTTATCTATCTTTGCTTCTCTTACGTGGAAAATTCATTTTTAGTATTTGTATAGAAGTTGTCTGCATCCTTATTCTATGTGTATTTCTGTATATTGTTTTGTTTTGGATGGATGATTATGGCAGTAAAATTAATGAATTCCTTAATATCATCAGAATTATTAACCCATAAGAAGCAACGCTGCTTATTTTATTTAAAATCAGTATAATTTTAACACCAGATACAAATTCCAACTTGCTGTTCGAAAGTATCGTTTAATAAAAGTTAATAGGTCTTTTTATGGTAATGGCCATTAAATATTATAATGAAACTCTCTGAAAACTATCCAAAATTGGAGAATATTAAAAATCAAATTCCATGCCATTTTGTTGGAAAAATGTATTTATAAAATAAATAAATTTTAGAAATATAATTACTGTGAGTTATGTATAGTTACTTGTTTTTTTCTTTTAAATTGTTATTATTTTTAATTCATTATTTGTATGTGACATTGTTTATATGTAAAAATTGCTGCATGTTTGTGATTTTGCAGCTGTACAGTATAAAAATGCTATAATATTCGACACAATGTAATATTGTTATAGAATAAATTGAATTGAATTGAATTGAATAAGATACAGAAGGATATTTTGGATCTGCCTTTTAATAAATTTAAAACTGTTATTAAAAAAAAACTTATTGAACAAAGCCATTAAACTATTACTTAAATGACAAACTTAAATGAATTATGCGCGGGCTTTTAACGACCGTGTAATTTTAGACATAGTACATTTAAATAAATACACATAATGTTAACAGAGATTTAAAAGAGTAACTGTTGAGTTTCTCGCGGGCTCTTCTCAACAGATAACAACCTTCCAAACCCTGCAGTAGATTAAAAAAAAATGACAATTTAAAAACAATTGTGAACAAATCTATTTGGATAAAGATTATTTAAATTTAAATTTTGTAATGGCCATGGTATTTTTTATCATGTCTTAGGTAAAGTTTACTATTTTCCGTTAGTCAGATTTTTATTTTTTATATAATTTTATTTGAAATTGTTCATATGAACAAGATTATGACTTATAACACATACATATATTATGTGTTAGAAGTCATAATCACAGATTACATATCTAGTTTTTATTTTTAATGGATGATAATGGAATGGTAACACCGGCTGCACTATCGGTATACACTGGCGGGGCACTAGTGAAGGGTGATAGACGAGAATGAAGCAGGTCAGTTAACCCACCGTGACGGATTTAACAATTAACCAATCAAGATGGTTTCCAGGGGGAACCACGAGGAGATCGATCTGACTCATATTGCTAGCAATGGGGATCGATCTAATATATCATAAATCATATTGCTGGCAATGGGGCTACTAAGCCCCATTACTAACAATTCCTTCTCCCCCCTACAATATCCAGTTTGTGTTGTCTTCCAGGAGGCAGCCCGAAGTAAAATGCTCAAGGACCCCGATGTATTTGCTTTCAACGCGCTATTCCTTGACCCGACAAAAGTGGAGGCCAAACAAAATGAAGTTATGCATCACAACGAGAACTCGGGATTCGCGTATGTGTTATATTTATTTAATTTTTAAGAGAAAACAAAAATTAAAGCAAACCCAGAACAAATGGAAATGCTTTGAAATCTTTGCCAATTGTAAAAGGATTTAATAAATTTTTCTTTGTAATTATAACTTTTCATAATGTTTGTTATATATAATTAAATGCTGTATGACATATAAACAGTTTGTTATAGTTGTTGCTTGTTATTTTAAACAGTTTTTGAGAATTTTGGTTCGTCGTTTAGAGATGCAGTTTGTCATAATCGTTGCATGTCATATACATATGCAGTTTGTGATGATTTGTAGTTCGTCACTTAAAGATGCAATTTGTCATAATCGTTGTATGTCATATACATATGCAGTTTGTGATGATTTGTAGTTCGTCACTTAAAGATGCAGTTTGTCATAATCGTTGTATGTCATATACATATGCAGTTTGTGATAATTTGTAGTTCGTCATTTAGAGATGCAGTTTGTCATAATCGTTGTATGTCATATACATATGCAGTTTGTGATAATTTGTAGTTCGTCATTTAGAGATGCAGTTTGTCATAATCGTTGTATGTCATATACATATGCAGTTTGTGATGATTTGTAGTTCGTCACTTAAAGATGCAGTTTGTCATAATCGTTGTATGTCATATACATATGCAGTTTGTGATAATTTGTAGTTCGTCATTTAGAGATGCAGTTTGTCATAATCGTTGTATGTCATATACATATGCAGTTTGTGATAATTTGTAGTTCGTCATTTAGAGATGCAGTTTGTCATAATCGTTGTATGTCATATACATATGCAGTTTGTGATGATTTGTAGTTCGTCACTTAAAGATGCAGTTTGTCATAATCGTTGTATGTCATATACATATGCAGTTTGTGATAATTTGTAGTTCGTCATTTAGAGATGCAGTTTGTCATAATCGTTGTATGTCATATACATATGCAGTTTGTGATAATTTGTAGTTCGTCATTTAGAGATGCAGTTTGTCATAATCGTTGTATGTCACATACGCAGTTTGAGATAATTTGTAGTTCGTCATTTAGAGATGGAGTGTGACATAATATCATCGCTCGTTGTATAGCATAGTTTGTCACAATCGCAGTTCGCAGTTAGTCAATACGTATTTCGTCTTGAGAATTGATAATAAAAAGTCATTCATTTAATTATTTTTGATTTATGTTATAATTGGATTTTTCAAAATTATTTTTTATTAAACTTAATTTACAATGTTTCAGAAAACGCCAGAATTTACGGCAAGAATTCGACGACTTCGACGTCGGTAAAAGTATTTTGGAGAACTTTCTGGAGATTGGCATGAGCACGGCACGGGCTGCGATACACTTGGGCAGGGCTTATAAAAACACCAAGTGTGTATATATAATTATACTATTTAATAATTTCAGTCATTTATTCCATTCACTGGCCGCATGGTTCTGGCATACAATAGGCCACCCCTTTCTTTTCCGTGGGTGTCTTAAGAGGCGACTAAGGATGGGCGAGGGATGTGCAGCAGCGTCCCTCTTAAAATATCTCCAAAGCCTAACTGCGGTTGTCAATTCACCTACCAGGCGTGGTAACTACTGGCAAAACCCCCCTTAAGGGGAGGCTTATGTCCAGCAGTGGACAGTTAAATGCTTATATGATGATGATTCATTAAGTCAGTCCACTCATTTATTCTATTCATTAATTCCAAGCATGTACTCTATCTATTCATTCCAGAAACGTCATAAACCACATCGCGACAGGAGAACCAGTCAACCAGCCGTCCAACACCAACCACCTCTCCCGCAATATAGAGGGCAACACCGTCGCTCTCAATCACCTGCAGTCGTTCAGCGGAGGCGGAGGAGTCGGGTATACCGAGCTGGATTGTGTTTGGTTGCTGTACTGCAGGAACTTGGTACTGACTGCCAAGTTGAACGCTCCGTACGGAACCATGGCTAGGATCAATGGGTGAGTGCGGTGTGGGGTTCATGGTGGTTTTCCCATTTATGGCAATGTTTAAACAAACAATCATACACTCAATCAAACCACATTAAATCATTGAGAATGGGCCACCCCTTCCTTTCCTGTGGATGTCGTAAGAGGCAACTAAAGGAACTTACTGGTCGAGCTATGGGCAGCAGTGTCCCTCTTTAAACATCACCAAAGCCTAACTGCGGTTGCCAACCCGCCCACCAAGCGTGGCAACTGCTGATAAAACCCTTCAATAAGGGGAGACCTATGTTCAGCTGTGGACAGTTACTAGCTGATATGGTATTCATTCACCCGTTCTTTCAGCATGGCGCTACGAATGCTGACTGGCGAGTTGCCAGCCGACCGGGCATTGGACACGATGCTGTACGAAGTATTCTCAGGCTGGACTGAGCTTAACTGCAACAATATGTTCCCCAGGTAATAATATATATATATATATATATATTTTAAACTGACTAACCTACCCAGGACTGGCCCTGGTCTACCTTACTTTATCTTCATCTGTCATCTCTCACTGGTGCCCCGTTAGCGTATATCCATAGCGAAGCTGGGATTACCATTCCACTTTTGTCCCTTAAAAATCGTATGAGTGTTAATTGGGCATCATGAGCGAAACAGTACACTCTGTAATGTCCACGGTACTGCTCATGTCTATAGGCGACGGTTACCACTTTCCATCAGGTGGGCCGTCAGCTTGTTTGCCATTCTAAGTTGTTATTCCTCTGTACCCTGTAAATTCACGCCATATCGCACCCTTCAAACCGAAACACAGCCATGCAAACACAACTGCTTCATAGTAGAAACACGAATAGGACAGAGGTAGCCAAGCAAATGGCTTTTGTACAAAATCTCCCTCTGGATTTGTGAACGTTGAAGGGTAAATTACAGCTACATATTCCAGGATTGCATGAGGCGCCGTTTATTCGGCATCAAAACAGTTTTCTTTGTGATTAATGATTTATTTTTATTTTTAAACTTTGTCATTTCCAGATGCAGCAGAGCTGATGCGGCCACAGTTGTTCTAAATACAATTCTACAACCGCTCAGAAAGTCCCATTCGTCTAATAAAATGCGATAGCTGGCAATAACTACTATAATAGTAGATTTTTGTATTAAAATACGTGGTATAATTAGATATATTTCATGTCTATATACGTATATAACGGGAAATTAATGAAGCCACTGTGTTTTTGTCGATTCCCACTTCATCCGGAAGTCTTCTTCAGTTTGTGTTTGGCATTTTACGAAATGCTGCGATGTACGGAAAACCACAGAGAAATTATTAATTTTTCATTATATATGTATTTTAGGTTATATAAATAGAGCTTCGAGCCTCAAAAACGGGTCAACTTTTTGTCAGCTAATTGTCAAATTAGCTGACTCGTTTCTCTTATCAGTGTTCTATATGTTTACGCATACAATGTATCTTGACGTATTATTTAATAAATAAAACGAGTGTTTACGCATTAAAAAGATACAGAAATTGTATATTCTACCGTGAAGCAGTTGTGTTTGCATGGCTGTGTTTCGGTTTGAAGGGTGGGATATGGCGTGAATTTACTGGGTACAGAGGAATAACACCTGAGTCCTCAGGAATGGCAACGCATGGGGGGTATCATGGGCGAAACAGTATACTCTGTTATGTCCACGGTACTGTTCATGTCTATAGGCGACGGTTACCACTTTCCATCAGGTGGGCCGTCAGCTTGTTTGCCATTCTAAGTTGTATAAAAAAAACTATTTATCACGCAAAATTGTATGAAAAATTTGACCCGTTTTACTCGAAGCATTTGTATGGAGACACTCTATCTATATACTTAATCTAAGATATTTATATAGATATTGGATAAAAAATTATCATAAATATATTTCAAGTAGGACTGCTGAAGATTTGAGTGGAGGACGCCAAGACTCTAATATGGCAACGCATGAGGGGTATCATGGGCGAAACAGTATACTCTGTTATGTCCATGGTACTGCTCATGTCTATAGGCGACGGTTACCACTTTCCATCAGGTGGACCGTCAGCTTGTTTGCCATTCTAAGTTGTATAAAAAAAAGCAGTGAATATTTCCTTCCTAATACATTTTAGTAAGGAAGTTGCAGAAATATAAATAAACGTTAAATTTAAAAATTTTTAAGATTCGACTGTTACATTTAGAGGCTAAATCAAATTAGTGTTTATTTTTATATATTTAAGTTAATGATTATATTATTTATAAATTAATTGATTACTCAGTTTTGTTTATTAATAATTATTAAAAAAAAATATTGTTATGCAAATCTTTTTTAAACGTTCGAAATAGGTACATCAGAGTTTTACAGATAAATTATAGATATAATTTAAAAAAAATTGAAAATTACATTTTCTATTATAGATAGATAGATAGATACTCTTTATTGTTTCCTCCATAAGATTACAATAGTAAACTTATTATAGATACAAACAATTACAAGAAATGATCACAGTGAGAAAACAATGGGTGACCTTATCGCTAAGAGCGATCTCTTGCAGGCAACCTTTGGATGGGGAGGAGTAATTATAAACAATTTGGTGGTATTACCTATTTACATTAGGTAAAATATTATAAACAATACTGAGTAATCGATTATATACATTTATTTAATTGCTCAAGTGTACTTACGTTATTAGTTCGTGTAATTTATAGATATACTAGGTGACTATGTATTATCAGTTACAGCGCCATCTATTAAAAGTAACCCGAAGTAATGATTCTCATACAAAATAACCTCTTTTTAATTTTTAGATTGTTTTATACATAAAACTAAATAACTCGATGTACTGTCAGCTACAATGCCATCTGTTGAAAATAATTCGAAGTAGCGAGTCCCATACAAAGTTACTTATTTTTAATTTTTCAGATTTTTTTTTTATAGATATACTAAATAACTTGATGTACTGTCAGCTACGATGCCATGATTGATTCATTGGTGAATTGGTCACAATAGGCTGATTGACCTGCTTCATTCTCACTTATCACCCCTCACTGGTGCCCCGCCAGCGTATACCGATATCGCATATCGGGGATAAGGAAAATGGCATTTGTTTTATTGTTTTAAAATGTTCATTATTTGTAGTTTTTTAATTTAAACAACAAAAAAAGTATGTTACTAGAGCTATTTACTGTTAGAAAAAAAAAACAAATTACGTTTTAAGATAGACTGATAGAGATGATGAGAAATAAAATTTTATTATTTGTTAATACAATTTGTTTTATTTCCATTTGATTTATTCACAATTGGTACACACCAAGCGGAAACTAAATTAAAACCTATAAATATTTGATATCGACTCGTCACGTTTTAAAATCGAGGATGCTCGGCTAATCTGTGTCGACAGCAACATTGCGCATTTAGCGCGCTATTTGTCACCGCCTAAGAACAAGGAATTACTCCTACATAGAGGGAATGATAAAATAAAAACTGTAAATCATACGATTGCCTCCTTTCTTCTTATGCAAATATAATTAGTAAAAAGAGGACGAAAGATACACCATCAGTTGCTATTTTTCTCAATTCACAGCAGGATAGTATATAGAAAATGTTTGATTAAGAATTGAAAAGAGGAAAGAAAAGAAAGATTTGGGTAGGTTATTTTTGTTGATGGGTGAAAATGGTATGGTAACCCCGCCTGCGCTAACGGGATACGCTGGCGGAGCACCAGTGAAGGGTGAAAGATGAGAATGAAAACAGGCCAGTTAGACCATCATGATGAATTCATCAGGAAGTAACTATGATAGTTCCCAGAACCGCGAGGAGGTCGACCTGGTTGGGTATATTGCTAGCAATGGGATTCTCAGTCTCCATTACTAACAATCCCTTTCCCCCCGGGTAGGTTATAGTAGGTTATATTAGGTGTACACTTTAATCAAATTAAATTAATGTACTTTTTTAAACTGTAATTTTAGTTAATGGATTAAACAGTGAATGTTTATATCAATACGTTGGTCTTTCAATATAATTCTTCAATGTCTCAATAAGATTGCTAACAACATTACCGGAAAATTTCAATTTATCAAACAACTCCAATATTTTCCTATCGTCCCATAGATATTTATTGGCCTCCATGTCATTTTTTAATTTTTTTAAACTCACTTCCAACGTGTCTATGTTTGCAATTATATAACCTACTCTGTACGCGTTGTTTTCCGAGAAATCTTTCTTAATCTGCTCCAACGGAGACACTTTTAATTTTATTTCATTAAAAGCGTCCCTTAAGTAAATTAAAAGTTTATCTTTAATTGTATTTGACGGCTCTTCATACATATTTCTTCTGGTGACGTTGAAGTTTGGACTTGCTTCTTTCACAGTTGCATTATCTGTTTTATTACTCTGTTCATTTAAAAAGATAACTTTAGTTGAATTGTTGTTTACTTCCCTTTTTGCTCTAGCATTACGATTAAATATATATTTAGGTATTTTTAATACAATATATCTATTTGTTTTATTCCAATTCTTTTATAATATAATAATTCTGTACCTAATTAATATTCCACATTCGTCACCGACGGCCTAAACTTACCGCTAAATAACTTAAAAGTTTTTTTTTCTATATAACCAATTCCTAATTTACAATGTTCAATTATAAAATACACGTAAAGCGTATAATCAACATGTTCAGTTAATGAATTTGAAATTAGGAAAAAAAATAAAGTCAAATTTAAATTATAAATATGACTATTAATATATTTTTTTTCATCATTACATCAGCCTTGGACTATATATATATATATATATATATATATATATATATATATATATATATATATATATATAGTTTTATAAATTATATGTATTTATATATTTTTGTGTATTACAGGTTTTTGTATTTTATACACGAAAAATTATTAATTCACTCTTACGCCACCTGCCCACTTCTATCTGTTGGGAACTACTCGCGGCCGTTTGCGCGGTTTTTTGGGGGCCCGCGTTACAATTAAAGTTTTAACAAGTACGCTGCTGCCCATCACTCTATCATTAAGTTCATTTAGTCACCTCATAAGACACCCACGAAAGGAATGGGTGGCCTATTCTATGCCGGGACCACACGACCAAAAGTATGAAAAAGCTGAAAGAATGGCGCCACACGGAACTCACTGTGTATATACATATATATCTGTCACGCCTGTCTCCCATTAGGGTAGGGAGAAACAATAGAACGTAAAATGCTCCGATTCAAATGGGTTTTTTTATGGGTGAAAATGGTGTGGTAACCCCGCCTGCGCTAACGGGATACGCTGGCAGAGCACCAGTAAAGGGTGATCGATGAGAATGAAAACAGGCCAGTTAACCCATTATGATGAATTCATCAGGAATTAACCATGATAGTTTCCAGGGAGAACCACGAGGAGCTCGACCTGGTTGGGTATATTGCTAGCAATGGGATTATCAGTCTCCATTACTAATAATCCCTTTCCCCCCCGATTCAAATGGGTTATGAGTATGAAAGAAATAATAGAAATTCTAAGTTTTTTGTAAATACAATTTTTTTTTTTATATATAAAATGTAAAATATTTGCATGGCTACATCTTTTAAGGCAATTAAACAGGTGCCAAAATAATACCACGTGGCTTGTTATAATTTTAAACTGTTTAATGCAAATAAACTCATTTAATTTAATTTAATTTAATTTAATTTAATTTAATTTAATTTCATTTCATTTAAAAAAAAACTCAAACTAATAAAAATACACCCATCTCCTAATCAAACGTAAGATGTCTACAACTTTACCTGTTTATGTCTTCATGCTACTGATGTCATCAACAAGAGTCGTCTGTTCTATCGTAGGATCAACCACTGCGGTATCGTTTACCGTCACAACCTGACCAGTACTGGTCGTGACTCCTCCAGACCCTCTTGCAGCGGGAGGTGCTTCAGTTACGGGGGTAGTTTCACCGTCCGGCGCGTTGTCGGGGGCCGCGTCTGTTCCTGGCTCTGGCCCTTAAATGCGAGGTTTTAAAGTCACTGATTCAATGTAGATGTTAAATATTTTTTATTTCTAAAAGCTCTTGGTTGAAAGAAAGAAATATTTATTAAGTGCTTAATTTCACACATAATAATGAAAAAATCATTTAACAATAAACAAAAATGGAAAAAAAAAATAAAATGCTGTCACTCAGCTATATGCAATGTTCTTTCGAACATGACGCTGATTGACCACTTACCATCAGGTGGGCCGTATGCTTGTATGCCACCTCAGTGCTTAAAATTATATATATATATATATACACAAATAATGTGCAAAATTAATAACAGAAACTTTATTTTAGTAAGATCTAATTAGTTTTAGTAAGAGAAATTGATGTCTGTAGAAAATTTATATTTTTAAATGGTATAATATAAAAAAGTTGGGTTTAGTTGCGGCAAAACCGAGTTATTTTGATTTAAAAATTTAACTACTGAAGTAAATTTTATGAAATTTCTATGAAACCAATCTGTTACCTTTTAGGTAGAAACGGAATTATCCAAATCGGTTTACAACTGACGGAGTTATGTGGTAACAAAATTGGAAAAAAGTACAACAAATAGAGAACCTGCTTGTTTTTGAAGTCATTTTAATAAATATACGGCCTTTTGGCAAAAATTGGTAACCATTACCTATATGTAAATGGTATCATGACATAACAGAACACGATTACTGTAATGCCCTCTTACTAGAGGGAGACTTTGTACAAAAGTCGTTTGCTTGGCCACCTCTGTCCCATTCGTGTTTCTACCGTGAAGCAGTTGTGTTTGCATGGCTGTGTTTCGGTTTGAAGGGTGGGATATGGCGTGAATTTACTGGGTACAGAGGGATAACACCTGAGTCTTCAGGAATGGCAACACATGGGGGGTATCATGGGCGAAACAGTATACTCTGTTATGTCCACGGTACTGCTCATGTGTATAGGCGACGGTTACCACTTTCCATCAGGTGGGCCGTCAGCAGCATAAAAAAATCTACTATGCATATATATATACATACATATATACTCTTATATCGTTTCATATCTTAATACGAATGTATTTTGCTTTCATATTCTGTGATTTCACTGCCAATTAACAGAGGGAGACTTTGTACCTCTGTCGCATTTTAACAATACCTTTAGTTTCTGCGTCTCCTGGAGTCGTCTCGTTGCCAACATCAGCGCCGTCTTCCGATGGTGCTGTACCATTGCCCGCACCTCCAGTCTCGTCAGCTTTTGCTGATAGGTCTCTAAATAGAACATTTGAATTTTACTCAAATGTACAAGGTAGGAATGCATTACAAGTAGTATGCACATCGTTAAAATTATGTTAAAGGGGTACTTTTTTATGCAACTTAGAATGGCAAATAAGCCGACGATCCACCTGATGGAAACTGGTAACCGTCGCCTATAGACATGAACAGTATTATGGATATAACAGAGTATACTGTTTCGCATATGATACCCCCCATACATTGCCATTCCTGAGGACTCAGGTGTTATTCCTCTGTACCCTGCAAATTCACTGCCATATCCCACCCTTCAAACCGAAACACAGCCATGCAAACACAACTGCTTCACGGTAGAAACACGAATGAGACAGAGGTGTCCAAGCAAACGACTTTTGTACAAAGTCTGGTAAAACGTCGTCAATAAAGAAGCAGGTATGTAGGTACCTATTTACCTGTAAAAGCTTTTACATCGCGTCAAGTCCCGATCGTGTATTTAAAATATGTGTAAACAATATGAAAGTTTACATTTAGCCATCATTTAATATGCTTAAGATTTTCACATACAATCTACTTACTTGGAGGGAAAGGGATTGTTAGTAATGGATACTGAGAATCCCATTGCTAGCAATATACCCAACCAGGTCGACCTCCTAGCGGTTCTCCCTGGAAACTATCATGGTTAATTCCTGATGAATTCATCATGATGCGCTAACTGGCCTGTTTTCATTCTCATCTATCACCCTTCACTGGTGCTCCGCCAGCGTATCCCGTTAGCGCAGGCGGGGTTACCATACCATTTTCACCCATCAAAAAAAAAAATCTACTTACTTCAATTCCATAAGTGTTTTAGTTACAGTATCTCCCCCCAAGCTGAACACTGCTTGGTAGACACCTTCAAATGTGTTCACATATTCCGTGATGCGAATTGTAAGAGACGTGGGCGACGCCTGAAAGAAGATATTAATTTTGAAATCTCATATCGTTTACGAATAAAATAATAACTAATCAATTATTTATATATTTAGGAGATATTTAAGATTTTTTTTACACAACTTAGAATGGCAAACAAGCTGACGGCTCACCTGATGGGAAGTTGTAACCGTCGCCTATACACATGAGCAGTACCGTGGACATAACAGTACACACACATACTGTTTCGCCCATGATACCCCCCATGCGTTGCCATTCCTGAGGACTCGGGTGTTATTCCTCTGTACCCAGTAAATTCACGCCATATCCCACCCTTCAAACCGAAACACAGCCATGCAAACACAACTGCTTCACGGTTGAAACACGAATGGGACAGAGGTACCCAAGCAATCGACTTTTGTACAAAGTCTCCCTCTGGTAGATTAGATAGTTATTTGTTAATGTTAAATAAATTTGCATGCTATCACGTTGTTAGCTAAGCACGAATGTTCTTTGACTAATGTAACATTTTTAACTTTACCGTGTTTAAGCAAATAAAGATTATTATTATTATTAAAAAAAAAAAGAAAAGTGAAAACAAATGAATTATAACAAAAATATAAAATAGGTCACATCACGTCAATAGACGGCATTTTTATTTATAATTTATATAATTAATAAATAATATACCTAACAAAAATAACTAGCATATTTAGAAACACTGTTTATTTCGCAAAATAATATATATATATATATATATATATATATATATATATATATATATAAAATTCAAGCGAATCGAAGTTCAGAGCATCGAGCAGTATGTCTTTTTACAAGTTTT